TGGGTCTGTCCATAGCTGGACAGATAGAAAAATGCATCACTATCCACAGCCTGAAATACTCAGCTGTTTCTGAGCACCAAGCTTAGGAACAGAATTCTGGAAGCCAGTGTCTCTGATTAGCACTGGCTTTGAGTTCTGAGAGTCTAGCTTCACTTTTCATCAGGTAACAGGGCAAGTTATGAAATGACTCAGGCACTGAAGATCAAAGCTTTGTAGTGCCTTGCCTGTGCGACAACGCGTGGGCGAGCTGTAACACAGTACAGAGAGATTTTGTATAGGCAGACTTCGTTAGGGCACAATGGGATGTGGAGGATATGAGATCGTGATTTTGAGACATCACATATGCCTCCTTCATGTATATGCTGTGCTGAGCTGTGACAGCAGATCAGCTGTGAAAAGATTATTTCCCAGTGAAACAAGTGGGGGAAAAGTCATTCTTTAAAGTTACTTTCACAACTTTTAAAGGGCAGATCCTGGACGAGGCTTTGACAATTATGCTTTTAACGCCTACACCAAATAGTTTTTGTACAAAGGACAGAAAAGATACCATTTCTGTACCTCACCAGGACACTGGGAGTAGTTCATGGAAAAGTGAGAGGAGTGGTGGTTTGGGGTCTCTTTATCTCAGCAGTAAGGAGGGGCCTGGAGTTTAGAGGAGAAAATTCACACACACCAGTGGAGACGGGAACAAGGTTTCAACGAGGGAACAGTCTTCATCAGTGTGTTCACGCTTGCCATGTGGTTCATCCCAAAGCGATAAATCAGAAAATACATCTACTCAAAGATTACCGTGCCAGAAGGTACAAAGGCCACTATTATGCCATAGGGCTATTTTCTGACAAAATCTTAAATTTCATTTTCTCCTGAACAACCACTGTACCTTAGCATTCCTAAAAAAGAAAAAAGGAGAGGGACTATGTTACTGATGACTAGATTTTAGAACTGTAGACAAAAAAGGGGTTTTTGGAATGTAACTTTACAGGGTGATCTGATCATAAATTCCTAACTGGGCAGGCCATGGGGGATAGTCATGCCTCAGGCCTATAACTTGTTTAGCAAAAGGTTTATCTTTGCCTTAAGCAAGCCACATCCATTGCTTTTATGCACCTAGGTTAACACACCTTTGAAACAAGCCATAACCGCCCCCAAGCACATAATCTTGTTAACTATTCTGTAATCCAATCCCTAATTTACTGTCTGTCACTTTCATGCAATCTTCTTTACCTCCTTTCTAAGATTCAAATGCATAAAAGGAACTGCAAAACTGTTACGCTCTGGAGCACTGGAGATCTTGCTTCCTGGCAACTGTTATCAGTTTTGGCTCAAATAAACTTATAAAATTTTTCTTCAAGTTTGGACGTTTCTTACGTTGACAGAATGACAATAACTTTCTCAAAAGCAAAGATGACTGTTTTTCCCAGGCAGATCTAATATTTTGAATAGTCTGTTAAAAATCAAAACACCTCTTCATGGCAAAGTAAATATATATACAGAATGGGACAGGCTTGTGATGTGAAAACAAAGGTGCACTTTCCCTCCTCAGTGCTTAGTACCAGCGTATCAGAGTTCTCCAGAGAAACAGAACCTATGTGATGAACATAAACATATATCTAGAGAAAAAGAGATTTAAAATAAGGAATTGGCTCATGAGATCATGGAGGCTGACAATCTCAAGATCTGCAGAGTGAGTCAGCTGGACCCAGCTGCAGACCCAGAAGAACTGATGTTTCAGATCCAATCTGAAGGCAGGAAAAAGCCAATATCCCAGCTCGAAGGCAATCAGGTAGGAGGAATTCCCTTTAACTCAGGGTAAGGTCAAACTTTTTGTTCTATTTGGGCCTTCGACTGATTGGATGAGGCCCACCCACAAAGTGTTGCCTGCTTTATTTGAGATACTGATTCAAACGTTAACCTCATCGAGAAACTCCCTCATAGACACAACTCAGAATAATGTTGGATCAAATGTCCGAGCACTCTGTGGCCGTCAATTGACACATAAAGTAAAGTAACCATCACAACCTGCATATGTCTAATGGGTTAAAAATCAAGGGCGATCAGTTCACAGGGAAACCTGGGATCTGTGAAGAGCAAATACACAGGGAAGAGAAACTCCTGCCTGACTCCCTGAGGAAGCGCCATTCCCCAAGGCACCGCTCGCTCCTTCCACCTAAATGCCACTTGTGGCGAGCTCACTCGATCTTTATTCAAAGTTGCCATGCAATGAATTGTATAAAGTTGTGTGCCACTCTGTACCTGCCAGGGTGGCTACCACGAAAAACAAATACTGATAATACTGAGTGCTGGTCGAGAAACTGAAACTCCCATTCTTTGCTGGAGGGACTGAAACATGGTGCAGCCACTTTAGAAAACAATTCAAAGTGTTGTCTTATAAAGTTAAACACATACTTACCACCCAACCCAGCAATCTCGCTCATAAGTATTTACCCCAAGGGCATGAAAATTTAGGTTCACACACAATGCGAATGTTTATAGCAGCTTTATTAATGATCACTAAGCACTAGAAACAACCCAAATGTCCTTCAATGGGTGAACAGAAAAACAAACATCATGCAGTGGAATACTACTCAGCAATAAAAAGGAGCAAAGGGCTCATGCACAAATCTTAAAAGCACTATGCTTACTGAAAGGAGCCAGTCTCCAAAG